TTTCTTTTCCTCCTTAAATTGGATAGATGTTCTTTACTTTTGCATGTGTGTGCCATGGGACACCTTTGACATTCTAGTGAAGTTAATGAATCCCTTTTCAGGGTAAAGTTTAAGGCATCAAATGTCTAAACTTACAAGCATAAAATTTGAATGCAGAGGATTACAAAGGAAGCCAAGGATACAATAGAAATACAGTTATCTGTAGACCAAAAAATCTGTAGCATTGTCATATACATCCTTTCCTAATGCATTCCATACCAAGAACTGGTGGCAGGTCTAGAAATTACTATAATTTTGAAGTAGCGATGAGTGGAAATGTTACTATGAAGTATTTGCAATAACTGTAATGTGATAGGAAGATATTTTTGATTTCTACTTGTGATAGGTCACAGATACGGCAAATTCTAGCGTGGATTGTGGCCTACATTAGTAAAAGAAGGAAACCCTCAATTTCAGTTGGAGATTAGTAAAAATTAGTATGAAAATTTCCCCCACCTACATCCTGAATTCTGTTCGAGATCCTCCGAAACCCCTTGCCTTAAAACTTCACCCTGGGGGTGCCTGGGGGGCTCAGTTGGTGAAGCAACCAACTTTGGCTCAGGTCATGATCTCCCGGTTCTTGAGTTCAAGCCCTGCATCTGACTTTCTGCTGTCAGCACAGAACCTGGAGCCTGCTTCACATCCTCTGTTCCCCTCTCTCTGCCCACCTCCACTTCTCAAAAATAAACATTAAAAAAAAAAACAAAACCCAAATCCTTCACCCTTTACTCTTGTGGCAGGTGCTCTTGGGGGCAGACCCAGTGCGCCCTCTTGTCGCCCTCCAGCTGCAGCTGTCTGTTCTCTGCAGTGCCTCCTAGATGTGCACCTCAGCCTCCCAGCTCCCAACTCCTGGGCTCGTCCGTGCCCCCTTCGCTCCCCTGCTCCTCCTCCTGGGTTCCCAGCTCTCTGTATGGCCATGACAACCAGCACCTGGCTCAGGCCCCTGACCTGACCTGAGCAAGGGAACTGGCAAGCACCGCTGCTGCCTGTGTTACTGCCCCAGCCTCCTTGGGGAAGCTTGGGGAAGTGTTAACTTACACATTTGAAAGCACCTGTCTGCCCTTCCCTTAACCTGGAGTGTCTTCTTAGTTTCTACCCCCCAGCCCCCACAAGACTTCACTCCTTACTTTATCTTTCCAATGCACACATCTGGTCGCTTTCTGGTTTAAACTCTTTTTTTTTTTTTTTTTTAAGGATTTTTTAAATGTTTGTTATTTTGAGAGAGAGAGTGCGCACCTGCAGAGGAGGGGCAGAGAGAGGGAGACAGAGGTTCCAAAGCAGGCTCCACACTGACTGCAGAGAGCGCAGTGAGGGGCAGCAGAGAGCCTGTTGTCGGGCTTGAACTCAAGACCAGCGAAATCATGACCTGAGATGAAGTCAAAGCTTAATGGACTGAAGCACCCAGTCGCCCTATGGTTTAAACTCTCTTGGTGTCTCTGCCTCTCTGATATGACATGAGAGGGCTCTTGTGTCCCTTGAAGCATTTTCTTTCTTTAAAAAAATTTTTTAAAATGTTTTATTTATTTCTGAGAGAGAGAAAGAGAGAGACAGAGAGAGAGAGAGAGAGAGAGAGAGAGAGAGACAGTGTGAGCAGGGGAGGGTCAGAGAGAGAGGGAGATATAGAATCAGAAGCAGTCTCCAGGCTCTGACCTAGCTGTCAGCACAGAGCCCGACGCGGGGTTCAAACCCACAAACCATGAAATCATGACCTGAGCCAAAGTCAGAGACTTAACTGACTGAGTCACCCAGGCGCCCCCCTTGCAGCATTTTCTTCTGCTCCCTGTGGTCCCTTCAATGGCCTGCTCCCATTTCCCCCTTTTCTTCGGAAGCCTGAATGGGTACTTTCTGCCTGGGGAATCCCTTACCTGCCATTTAGCCTTCCTTTCTAGGTTCTGTGGCTGCTTCACTGCAAGGCCTTGCCCAGTCTGCACCATCAAGAGCACTGTCTAGAAAGCATTTCTCCTCTCCCATCTCTCCCCCTCCCTTGCAGCTGACCAGAGTCTGGCATGGTTTCCCAAGTGGCATGCACTTGAGAGGACAGAATTATTAAACTATGTGGTTAGGAGCACTTCAGAGCCAGACTGCTTGGGTTCCAATCCCACCTCCACCAAGGGCAAGGTACTTACCTTTTAGGTTCCTCAGTTTTCCCATCTGTAAGTCTGGTATAAGAAGACCATGGTGTGGGGGGAGAAAACAGACAGTGAATGAGATTTAAATGAGTTAATACTTGTAAAGCAGTTTAGAACCATGCCTACCTTGTAGGCAGAACTTAACTATTAGCTATTAGCTTTAGTTTCAGTGATGTGGCTTGGGCTTATTTAGAAGTCCTCTCCTACTGGGGGTGTCTGAGTGCCTCAGTTGGTTGAGTGTCTGACTCTCGATTTTGGCTCAGGTCATGATCCTAGGGTCATGGGATTGAGCCCCACATCGGGCTCTGTGCTGAGAGTGGAGCCTGCTTGAGATTCTCTTTCTCCCTCTTCTCCTCCTCTCCCTTGCTCACGTACTTTATCTCTCTCTAAAATACATTAAAAATTAAAAATAGTCACATCCTACCATACTTTTATTTTTTTCTGGGTTTTTATTACTCTAGTGTAATTTGAACACAAGGATTTATTCTTCATCTCCATTGAGTTTGATATTGTACATTGATTTTGGCAGAAATATTTTATATGAGACAAAAGGAAATATATTTTTTTAATGTTTTATTTATTTCTAGGAGAGAGAGAGCGTGAGCAGGGGAGGGTCAGAGAGAGAGGGAGTCACAGACTGAAACAGGCTCCAGGCTCCGAGCTGGCAGTCAGCACAGAGCCCGACTCGGGGCTCGAACCACGAACCGCGAGATCATGACCTAAGCGAAAGTCGGACGCTTAACTGACTAAGCCACCCAGGCGTCCCCAAAAGGAAATATTTTTGACTGTTAGGAAAAATCTTAGGGATACAGCCTTTTAATAGAGTGACGGCCACTGTCCCACCAGTACACAGCTGGTTAAGTTGGGGGTGTATCCATATTTCTTACATTTCAGAGATTATGTTGATTGCATTTTTCTTGCAGCTTTTTGGGTAAAGGAGATATCAACATTATATATCAGAGGATTTTTCTGGGAATGTAAATCATTGTATATATTTGCAAACCAGAACTACCAAAGAGATGCTTTTGAGTGTAATAACTTTTTTTTTTTTTTTTTTGCATGGGTATTTTCATATCTTCAAGAAATATTCTGGTCTCGTGTGTGTGTGGGAACTTTCCTTGACCCTTACTGTACAGTTATATTGTATGTGACATCAACGTACCCTTATACCATATCCTTTTCTGCCTTTTTTTGTTTTTCTTGCAGCATCAAAGTCGCATTTCCCTTGAAATTTAATCGTTCCAGGCTTTCCTAGGTTTTGCCACCAGGTGGGGTTCTGGCTCCTTTTTAAGGCAAGGGCTGCTCTTCTAGAGGCCAGTTTTCTCAACAAGGTGATGGTCTTGACCCCCACATTCTAAAGAGACTCCAGGAGAGACCGTTGACCTCATCCGGGAGTGGGTGGGGCGCGCTGGTGGGCCATGTGTGAGGTCTCAGGGGGTCTCCAGGTCTTTTATGCCTGATCTTGTGTTTATATGCTAACGGCTTATGTTGCACTGGTTTTGAGACTTGATTTTACCAGCAATACATATATAAATCTGTTTAGCAGCAAATGAATCCAGGGTTCCTCGGAATATCTGGTCCGATATTATGGCTTAGAAGAAACAATAGAATTAGAGAATCTTGACCATTATGTTAAGTAGGTTTTTTTTTTTTTTTTTTAAATCAAGTTGAAGTCATGGAAGCAAGAGTAATGGCTTGCTGAAACTGTTCTTGGAGTTGAAAACTAGGGGTAAACTATGTATATGGTACTGTGAACACGTTATGTTAAAAAGAAGAGTGTGGACTTTCATTATTTCTTGAGCAATGTGCTGGAACATTATGGACTGTTTGGAGATAGAAATGCCTTAAAGAAGTGATCAATTGCACTTTTCTAGAATGAGAAATAAATGTACATTTCTTAGTTTGAAACTGTAGTGAGACATATTAAGTTCCGTATTAAACTATAAAAAATATGACTACCAACAAATCTTTTGTCTTGTGAACATAACCTAAATATAGATGGTAAAACTGAATTATGAGTGATTTTCAGATTTACAAACCCCAGGTGGGAGTCCTACGTTAGAATGATCCTCAGATGGTAGCTGTAGTTGAGGCGAGCATAGCATCATATACAGAGATACTGAGTCACTGTGCTGTGTGCCTCAGACTCATGTAACATTGTACGTATATACTCATGTAACATTTCAGAGATTATGTTGACGGCATTTTTCTTGCAGCTTTTTGGGTAAAGGAGAGGTCAACATTATATATCAGAGGACTTTTTAGTTAACTATACTAAAAAATTAAAGTTAGAAGGTTCTTTAATAAATATTCCTCTCAAACTTAAGTTGATTTTTAGACCTTAGTAATTAATGAGATTTTAGGCTTCTTTAACGCTACCCCTCAAAATCTGAAAACAGTGTGTAACTTTGATTCTCAGAAACAGTAATGTCATGTGTTCCTCTTATGCAAAGTGAAATTGCAGTGCTATATGTTACACTGTTTCCACCACGAGCTTCATTTCGTGGCCCTAATGGGGGGCAGACTGTATTCCTCCTGTTTAAAATAAATGAGTCACTTTACTACAGTGTCTGAACAGAGAGAAGGGAGTCAGAGTTCTCTTTAAGTTTGTGTGTTACGGATTTCTTAGGCAGCAAGTTCAAAACTGAAGCCTGAAGTGTTTGCCCATTGTGTATGTGGGTTTTCTCACAGCAGCCCAGTGTCTATTTAACATATGGGGAGTGGTTTCAAGTTCATTACTGAAGCTTATAGGCTCAAGTGCTTTGTGGGCTTGGCTAGGACTTAAGTTGCCAAGTTCAGAACAAACTGCTTTCCTTGTGCTTGTGGATTCCCTGAAGTCTGAATCCTCCTCTCTGGGCTATTCAGCTGCTTTGGAGATTAGTTTCATAGTAAAGATTCTTTCTGTAAAGCAGTATGGAGTGGCTACTTTCACAGGGGCACCAGGTTAGTAAATAACATTTTGGACTTTTCGGCTGCATAGGTCAGATTTTCTTTCTGTACTCACGGTGGGCGGGTGATGATATGACAGTCAGCATTTGTGCCGTTGCTGTGTTCTTGTAGAAAATAATGGGAGTTCGTGGAGGTTTGGAGGTGAGGATTCTCCTTATCACATGTGTGTTGTTTGACGCTATTATACACACACGGAAGCCAGGATGAAATGGCATATATGTGCTGGATTTGTAGTCTAGAGATTTGGGCTTGTTTGTAAGCATTTTCAGTTCCCTTTTCCGAATTCCTTTCTTTCTGTCCTCCTGTTAAATCTTCTAGACGTAAGTGTGATTTTATACGTGGTTGACTGTACTGTTTTTGAACATGAGGTGGCCTTGTGCTGGACTCCGGCTAGCAGGGTCGAGCCTCACACCGTGTGCAAAATTGCCTGATGCCCGCTTTTCCCTTGGGCCTACTTTGAGTTACAATGAAGCAGCATGCCATTTTCATTTTCTCTTTGAAAAGTCTGGCATTTTTCTAGAATGTCTCATAAAATACCCACATAACTATTGATGTGGGCACGGTGTACAGGTGGATAGCGGTCACTGTTTTCATTCTCAAGTAATTCCTCACAATCCGAGACTACTTTCGGAGTAAATCTGATGGTAAAAATGGAGTGTGCCTTGTATTGCTAATAGTAATAAAATGAAATTCAGTAAATAAGTACCGAGCGAGTATCTTCTTTAATTTCATTAATGGAAAGACCTAGAGAGCAGTTTTACCTTTATTAATTTGTCACCAAAGCAATCCAGCATGAAATTGTTCTGCATGAGTAAATTGGATGATGTTTTAAAGTTTGTAACACTCTATAAAATATTCTTGTGTTTATGTTATTTTAAGTGTGCTTTGGTTCAAATAATGTGCTAGTGTTTTTAAATAATGTGACTATGCCTCTGTTATTGCCCATTTCTTCTGCTCTTCCCCCCTCCCCACCCCCACCTCCCACGCTGGGAAAATACAGTGTATTAGAAAGGACCTGTTCTTCCCTGTTCTCCTCTGTGTAGAAAAAAATAAAGTTGAGGGAGAAGGCAGATAGAAAAAGGAACTTTGAAAAAAATCTTTCAGGTGACACACTAAATTTTAAGGCTCCTGCTTCCTGGAGGATCACAGTTTCCATATCTGCTGAGGCTGAAGTTGTAAAGTTATGACTGCCTGACATTTCAGGATTACAAAATTGACTGTACTTTATAACCCCAAGATACAATTGTACAGTTACATATAACCCATGCCTCTGCAGGTCTTCTCTTAATAGCAAATCTACCGGGTCATTTTAGCTTTCAAAATAACAAAAAAGCAAAGATTACTATAACTTGCTTAATATATGCTTTTACTGCATATATGTACTATTTATTATACTATTATTAATTATTAAATGCCCTTAATTTAAAACGTAACAAGGACTTTTGTCAGCATGATTATCGCTGCCCAGTGATTTTCAAGAACAATGTTAAGAACATTTTGCTCACTGATTACTTATTTATGCTTAATCAGCATAGATACTTGTCTTCAAAAGCTCACATGAAACTCATTTATGTCTGCTAGATCTGTGTTCCCAAGTGCTTCACAGCCTTTCATCGGGAGAGGATAACCAGACAAATACCACTGAGTAGAAACACAAATAAACAAATGTGGCAAAGTATAGGGGAAACTCCCTGAAGGCCAGATTTTAGGGTTTTCCCAAAGAATATCATGAAATTTCCTTCAAACATGGGGGGAGGGGGGAAGACCATACACACAGTAAGGTGTTCGAAATCTGTAATTTGAGGATAAAGTAAGTAAATCATATTCCTGATTCTAGGTTTGGAACGTGCGCTGTAATTCTTGTTCTCATCTTGCTGTACTGGTTTAGTTTTGTTACAGCTCTGCCTTTTGCCTAGAATCAAGCAGAGACGGGTATTTTTCTCATTCCATACCATCTAATTTCAAACGAAGCTTTGATTTGATTAATTTTTATCAAACATGCTTTCTTGTTGGTATTCAAAGTACTCTGGATGTCTCATAAATCTCAGCTGGCTTATGAACCTGGCTGATAATGCAGAAGCATGTGATCCTTATTTTCTTTTAAAATGATTCAGAGCTTCGAGGTTGGAGACAAATCCTTAGGCAAACCGTTTCAATATGAATTGGCCCACACCCCACACACTGGGAGAACTGACTGGCAGTAGAAGACAGGCACCCAGAGCAAAGAAATGAATACATGGGAGTAACTGTGATGTTAGAAGTCGATTTTCTGACTGCTGAGCCTTGATAAATCCATTCATGGCCCGAGTGGCTCTCATTCTCACCCCTCATCTGGATCTTGGCAGTGCCTGTTTGGGGAGCTGTTGGCTCTTGGTCTGTGGGCTCTGGCCTCGGATTCATAGCCTTTTTCGTGCCTAACTCCCAGGTCCTTGCTTCGCACGGCTCACTGACAGTGACGATGCGCGCAAGTCCTGTGCTTGTGTATCAGAAAGTGGGGAGGACTGAGGTGTCACCCGCCCCAGGCATTCAGTGTTTAATAGTGATAGGGAAACTGACTTCCTGGACACGTTTTACTCCCAAGGCTGATCCGACTGCCCACAGACGTCTCCATCCAGTTCCTTCTTTCTTTCGGAAAAACCCAATTTAAGTTTTACAGTCTGGCATTTCTTTCTTTTTAAAAATGCACTTTTGATATATTTTTTAAATGTTTGTTTTCGAGAGAGAGACAGAGCACGAGCAGGGGAGGGGCAGAGAGAGAGGGAGGCACAGAATCTGAAGCAGGCTCCAGGCTCTGAGTTGGCAGCACAGAGCCCGACACGGGGCTTGAACTCCTGGACCATGAGATCATAACTTGAGCCAAAGTTGGACACTTAACTGACTGAGCCACCCAGGCGTCCCTACAGTCTGGCATTTCTGGAGGTAGTGGATATAATAGTCATAACAGGAGCGGTAGAGGTAGTGGTAGTCATAATAATATCATAACAATAACAACTAATACCAAAACCATTTCCTAAGGGCAGTCCTTGTTCTGAGCCTCTTCTCTGTTTCTCACAACAATCCCAAGAGGCCAGTTGTCCTTACTCTCATTTTATAGTTGAGGAAACTGTCCCAGGAAAGTTCGGTCATTTATCCCCAGTCATAGCTGGTAGCAGCAGTAACAGTGTTGTGCCTCAGAGGAGTGCCCGAGTGGGAAGAAAATTTCATATGAGAAGTTTATGTTCTTGGGAGATATGATACGATATTTGTTATTAATGAGAAGCAAACAGGTAAGCTCCGATATCTGTATTGCTCCTTTTTTTAAAAAATATTTTTTATTTATTTCTGAGAGGGAGAGAGAGAGAGAGAGAAAGAGAGAGAGAGACAGATAGACAGCGTGAGCAGGGGAGGGTCAGAGAGAGAGGGAGACACAGAATCTGAAACAGGCTCCAGGCTCTGAGCTGGCCGTCAGCACAGAGCCCGATGCAGGTCTTGAATCCACGAACTGTGAGATCATGGCTCGAGCCAAAGTCGGACGCTTAACTGACTGAGCCACCCAGGTGTCCCTCTGTATTGCTCTTAAGACCCAAAGATGCTCTTGTTGACCCACTGTCAACTAGTAAGGCATGTCATTTGTGTTCTGTCTCTACTGGGTGGGAGGTGGGCTTGTACTCTGTTTTCTTACCTGTTCTGCTGATGACCAATGGCAACATACAGAGTTTGCCCATGTCAGTAAACGAGACCCAATGGCATCCAGTCCCCATGGAGAATCAGCTCACAGCATTGAAAATTCTTTTCGCTGTATACTTAAGCTCATCTTAGAACTTCTGAGACTTTTAAAGGCTAAAGCAATAAAACTGCTAAGGCTAGGAACTTGGATCTTCTGATTGTTTAACTTTAATTTGGCCTGTATGAGTGTCCTCTTCATTCCTGCCCAGTGTGATTTCCTGCTGATAATCAAAACTCTGGTTATTTTGTCAGTCCTGGAGGCTTTCTGAGGCTTAGTGGGAAGCCAAGAACATGAGACAAGTATTTCCTTTAAAAACGTAAATGTGCATTTGAAAGTGTTGGGCAAATAACTTACTCTAGCTTTTGCTAAAACTTAGACATGTCACAAGTAAGTTTGGAGTCCTTGTTTTTAAAAATTTTTTTTTTACATTGATTTATTTTTGAGGGCAAGAGAAACAGAGTGTGAGTGGGAGAGAGGAACAGAGAAAGGAAGACCCAGAATGTGAAGCCGGCTCCAGGTTCTGAGTCAGCACAGAGCCTGTTGTGGGGCTCAAACTCACAAACCGTGAGATCATGACCTGAGCCGAAATTGGATGCTTAACCAACAGAGCCACCCAGACACCCCAAGTTTGGAGTCTTTAACAGTATTTAAAACCATAGCCCATAGATTAAGGAACTAAGTTTAAGGAGAAAAGAAGGAAAGAAAAGAAATCAAACAATGAAAAATCAGATGTTTGGATGGGGAAGCACTTTCTCATTCTAAAACCAATAGAAGAAATCACAAAAGGAGCAGAGTAATAGATCAGAATTTTCCAGGTAGGAGTGTAAAACATTTTAAGTACAAAAATACTCACTGAAGCATTACTTATTATCATAAAAAGTTGGAAATACTCAAAACATACAGTAGAAGAAAATTTTATGATGGACCTTTACGCAACTATTACAATTTTGCAATGATATGAAAAAAGTGTAATAGCAAGTGGTGATGACAGATCTTTAATTTAAAACACTCAAAATTAAACTATTTGTGGATCTGGGTGGCTGGGTGGCTCAGTCGGTTGAGCATCTGACTTCAGCTCAGGTTATGCTCTCAGGTTGGTGGGTTTGAGCCCCACGTTGGGCTCTGTGCTGACAGCTCAGAGCCTGGAGTCTGTTTCAGATTCTGTGTCTCCCTCTCTCTCTCTAACCCTTCCCTGCTCGTGCTGTCTCTCTCTCTCTCAGAAATAAATAAATAAAACATTAAAAAAAATTTAAACTATTTGTGGACCACATACTTGGCCCTATTTAAA